TGGGCACAGGCTCTGCTTCCCTGGGAATGGGCACAGGCTCTGCTTCCCTGGGAATGGGCACAGGCTCTGCTTCCCTGGGAACGGGCGCAAGGGAAGGGCGGGAATTCGGGAAGTGAAGTCTCGGGATTAAGGAAAAGCCCATCCCTAAATCAGCTCCGACTCCCAAGTCGTTCCACACCCAACCCGGCCCAACCCCGGCGACGGCGGCACGAGGGAGACGCCTCCCGGGGATCCCAAAATTCCCATTTCAACCCGACTTTCCCTCGAGATCCCAGAACCGAGATCCACCCGAAAAAGCTTCTCATCCATAAAATCCCCTCCCCTCCCGTTTTTTCCCACCCTCTGCGTCGGCAACGACGTTTCCGACGCTTCCCCGGAGGCAAAAGCACCGTTTTTTCCCCTAAAAACACCGATCCGGGGAGGGGGAAGGGGGTCAAGCCAAGCCCTCCAAGGAAAAGCTGAGGAAAAGCCCCGGAACGGGGGCGGAGGTGCCGGAGGAGTCCCCGGTCGGGCCGTCCCGGGGAGCTTCAAAAGAACAATTAAAGACCGAGGCAGGACTGAAAACGAGTTTATTTGTGCGGGAGGGGCGGGGGGGGCGGCGGGAAGCGCTAACCTGAGTCCGACTCGTCGCTGTCGGAGGAGCTGGACTCGCTGCTGCTCTCCGACTCCGACGACGAGAAGCCCTTGAGCTTGGAGGAGCCGGCCAGGACGTCGACCTTCTCGGCTGCGGGGACAGGGGGCGGGTCGTTAGACCGGCCTAATGACCTCGTTAGCCACCCCCAATGGACTAACTGACCACCCCGAGTCACCTCGTTAGCCACCCGTAATCGACTAACTGACCACCCGTAATCATCTCATTAACTACCCACAGTCACCTTGTTAACTACCCATAATCACCTCATTAACTACCCATAGCCACCTCATTAACCACCCATAGCCACCTCATTAACTACCCACAGTCACCTCATTAACTACCCACAGTCACCTTGCTAACTACCCATAGTCACCACATTAACCACCCGTAATCACCTCATTAACTACCCACAGTCACCTCATTAACCACCCACAGTCACCTCATTAACCACCCATAATCACCTCATTAACTACCCACAGTCACTTTGTTAACCACCCATAGTCACCTCATTAACTACCCACAGTCACCTCATTAACCACCCACAGTCACCTCATTAACTACCCATAATCACCTCATTAACCACCCACAGTCACCTCATTAACCACCCATAATCACCTCATTAACTACCCACAGTCACTTTGTTAACCACCCATAGTCACCTCATTAACCACCCACAGTCACCTCATTAACCACCCATAATCACCTCATTAACTACCCACAGTCACTTT